ATTTGGTATGAGTAAACTAGACTTAATGTATAAGATGCTCAAAAAATTTCGTCAAAAAAATCCACCGGAAACCGTCCTAAATGGCGACGGCCAGACATAGCCTCATATACAATGACTTATTTGACCTTTTTTATGTAACTTTGAGTACCCGATTAAATAATGTCGTGGTAAATAATTGACACCAAGGATTGTGTGCCGCGTCAGATAAGTGGAAACTAGGGCACTGGTAGGTGATTTCCCCCAAATGCATATACACTCCTCCTCCCTCATTTGCGAGACTGTAGCTAGGGATTTGTATGCGAAAATTAACACTGCCAAATGATTGATTCCGTGGCTAGCGACAAAGGTGGAAGGGTTCGAGCGTGACCGTGGAGGAGTTATTGTTCACGAATTACTTTTTTGGGGTGTTTGGATCTGATTCTTAAAACTGTTTCTGCTCCTTCAGAGAGCGGAAGCAGAAATTGGAGTGTTTGATAAAAGTGCAAAAAGTGATTATGTTGCTCTAATTTACTCCTAAAATAAGTTTTTTTTACCAACTTTTGAAAAATGATTCTGATTCTGCTTCTCCTTTAAATTGAATATGAATGACGTTGCTTTATGTCTTTGCTCTGCGTGTTGTATTGTTCGAACTCCATGTTTGAAGTTACTGTTAATTGTTGTACTCCCACGAACTCCTCACTTCTTGAGTTATCTGTATAGGGAAAAGGACAAAATAGGACACTGAGGTTTTTAATGAAGTTCACCTTGGACATCAAGGTTTTAAGTAGACCAAATATACCCAAAGTTAAACATTTTGCTTCATTTTGAGCCACCTTGTAACCATTCCGTTAAACTCCCCTTCTTCCCCGTTACCAAACTCGTTCCCTTCAGATTAAACAACACAATTCAAAATCTCAACCCTAACTCATTCCATGGCAAGTCACTTGAGAAGATTAGAAGGTACTGAACTACGATATATAAGAAGGTTAGAAGACACACGACTGCTCTGAGAAAGAAATCAGAGGGGCTGCCCGAATTGAGAAGCAGTTGGATGATCCACCATATAGAACAATACCTTTCAAGGGTGATGGTGCACGGGTGCAAAATCCAGCAAACCTTCCTTTTCAACAACCTGGTTTGCAATGGAATGGGAATGAAGCAATCACCTCTAGGCCATTGTTACAGAAGATGCAAATCAGGAGGGGGGCTTCCATTGCAAAGTGAACACGTTTAACAAGGACTGTAGCTACTTTTGGGCATATATCTTCTATTAAAACACTTGGACGTTTTGGCTTTTATTTTGAAGCTGTCATTTTTTGTATATGTGCATTAGCAGTAAGAAGTATTACTACTTCTATTAGCTTTTTTGTATGAAGTATTACTACTTCTATTAGTTTTTTTGTAATGAAGTATTACTACTTCTGGCACTATAAACAAGCTTTGTGCTGTTTTTGGAGTGCTAAATTAGGGGTTATACCAGTTTTTGAATTTTGTAAACTCATTAACAATCAGTATTATGACATCTAATGATGTGGAATTATGATATAAATTCTTATATGTTAGCAAAGTGGCTCTGTTTTGATTTATAAATGGCATTGTATGGTTTTTATAAATGTCAATTTCATATGTAATAGTATATGTGTTAGTATGTGTTGCTGAATGTTCCCTTTGTGAACTGATAGAAGTTATGTATAAGTTTTTAGTAAACTGAAGTCAATTCATTTTGGGATTCTGCTATGGCAGTAACTTCTCATGATGATGAACGGTTTTTTGTGACCTGCTCTTATTTTTGTCTTTCATCTTTAAGTTGTGCTAAATTTTTCTCTCTCATTTGCTGCTTTGACAGTGACTCCTCATTTCTTTTCTCCCAATTTTTTCAATACCATTCTGGATTGAGGCTTAGCTAACCCGGCCGGTTTATAATCAGTAATTAAAGCCTCATAGAAATTAGTGTCATCAGGCCATTTGGTTTTCACTTTCCTCCCTATTTATGAATCAAGATGATCTGGTCATCTGATAATAAATTTGTCACCTAAATACATTTGTCATCAAACCATCTGGTCATCACTCATCCTATTACTAATCATCATATAATAAACCTGTAATCTGATTTTAGAGGATCCTATATGTGAGAGTACCTACGATATATTGATAAGAAAAATACTTTCACCTTTAAAGATGGTTGCAGCTGCTTGAAGCTTGAGATTATGTTCGGCCCTAGATTTCTTAGATGTTCATCCAGTACTAGTACTGGTGCTAGTTCTATTACACTGTAAACATCACAATTGTTTCTTGTTATTTATTTCTTAGGATGATCTTGTATTTCTGGTAAATTAGATATACTCCATATTGAATCTCAGTTCCATTTTTATCACGTATAATAAGCATTCAAAGAGGATCATTTCTTGGGATGATCAAAAGTTTAAATAGCAGTGTGGAATTGATAAATATCAGACATTCCATTTCCCAAGTAATGGCATCACCTGAGCCTTAGCATAAGGGCTCTGTTTTAACACCTGCTATGTAACACTCCTGCTATGAAACTGAACTCAATTCATTGAACAACAAGGTACATTCAGCAAGTTGTATTCACCATTGCATAACCATTTTACAAAGGAAAATATAATAGTAAGTTTACCAGGTCATAATCAAACCATTTTACAACAAACTGACTAAGAGATTACAAGGTTATAATCAAACCATTTTACAAGAAACTGAAACTAACATACATAAACACATAGTACTACAACACAGACACGCAACAACACTACAATTACATAATTCTTCTTCTTTTTTATTTTCCTTCCAATTCGAAACGGGCTGCATCCTTCCTAGTGTTAACTTTGACTTCACTCTCCAGTTTTTTAGCAACACAATCACATTCGAGTTCAAATAGTAGAGATTCCAGTCTTCTATTCTCCCGTTTGACCTCATTGATAACATGCCTTGCTCTGTCAGTTAATGGCTCATTATCATACCATTCAAAGATGCCACATTCATCTTTCTGGGTATACATGAAACACAAGAACATGAACATCAGTATGTATATATATATATATATATATATATATATATATATATATATATATATATATATATATATATATATATATATATATATATATATATATGAAATTTACATATTGATGGCCTCCTCCTACTCTCATATGTAAAAGAATTTTAAAAAACTCATAATAAGGACTTCCATGGAATTGTCTCCCTGGATATATTCTTTTCAGTCCATGAAGTCCAAAGTAGCGCTTTGGCACGAGTTCCATTTGCATTCGTGCAATTGTAGAACCTTGAACGCCCAGGACGTTGCTCAGAGATGCTGCGAAGCTTCACTGAATCGGCGGAGTCACATTTGCGTACCTCAAATGAGCTCGATACTGAACGAATATCCCGCATCAATGCTTTCTTCTTCGTATATGTCTGCCAGGGGATAAGTAGGTATAAATCAATTAGGGTTGTTGGATATTAGGGATTTCATTTATTGACCTGAATGAAACTAGTCTGGTAACGGGGAAGAAGGGGGTTTAACGGAAGGGTTACAGGGTGGCTCAAAGTGAAGCAAAAACTTTAACTTTGGGTATATTTGGTCTACTTAAAATCTTGATGTCCAATGTGAACTTCATTAAAAACCTCAGTGTCCTATTTGGTCCTTTTCCCATCTGTATACTATGTTGGTATATTATGTTGGAGTGCTCTTCCTCTCCGGAATTTCCGGACAGGAGCCCCGTCTGGCCTCCTCTATTTGGGGGTCTTCCCGGTGGTATTTTTTGCTCAAATTTTTTGTGTATGTTTCTCATCAAATCTAGTTCATCAATACCAAATTTCAGCAAAAAAATTCAATCAGGAAGGTCGTCAAATGATTTTTGCAAGTTAACTGGTCCGGAAAATACATATTCCGGACTACAAATTTGGATAAGTGTAAAATTAGGCAGTAAAAAATTGGGAACTAACATTTACAAAAGTTAGAAATTGGGCAGTAAAAGAGAAGGATGAGTTGTCTGCACGTGTCATATGATACATCCAACCGGAATGAGGTGACAAAACATTCTGTTATTGGGTTAAAAAATACGTAGTACATCCATGTAACGTTCAACCGGGAGTATCACGTCATTTGCAGGTCACCTATACCCAAATGATTTTTTTTAAACGAGTACGGATGTTTATGTGATGTTTTTTTCAGTACATGAGCTTAGGTGATGTTTTTTAACAAGTACATGGGCTTATCTGTCTCTTTTCCCTAATTCGTTTGAGAGTTATTATGATCATAGCATTATTATCATAGCATGATCAATCAATATGCATGTAGAGTCTAATTCTTTGCGAGACTTGTGATTCGACGTTTTCAGTTTTCAATTTGAACTGTTTGTTTCCATGTGTATTCGCATTGTAGCCTTGAACTATATGATTGTAATTGTTTTTGTTATCTTTATTAATACTACGTAATAATTAAGTTATTCGTTTCCAAATAATAATAAAAACGTAAAAGCAATTCATAAATATGTTCCCAAATGGAGGGAATAGAATTATTGGGCTGGGAAATTATTTCCGCACTACAAATTTAGGTAAGTGTAAAATTGGGCAGTAAAAATTGGGAACTAACATTTACAAAAGTTAGAAATTGGGCGGTAAAAGAGAAGGATGAGTTGTCTGCACATGTCATATGATACATCACGTCATTTGCAGGTCACCTATACCCATATGATTTTTTTTAAACGAGTACGGATGTTTATGTAATGTTTTTTAACAAGTACATGGGCTTATCTGACTCTTTTCCCTAATTCGTTTGAGAGTTGTTATGATATCATTATTATTATCATAGCATGATCAATCAATATGCATGTAGAGTCTAATTCTTTGCGAGATTTGTGATTCGACGTTTTCAGTTTTCAATTTGAACCGTTTGTTTCCATGTGTATTCGCATTGTAGCCTTGAGCTATATGTTTGTAATTTTTTTTGTTATCTTTATTAATACTACATAATAATTAAGTTATTTGTTTCCAAATAAAAAAAACGTAAAAACAATTCATAAATATGTTCCCAAATGGAGGGAATAGAATTATTGCTTACATTCATAAATCCCAATCCACACGAGGTGTCGATCTTACCTTAATTCAAGGTAAACTCCGATCCATGAGTTAAGAAACATTCATTGGCACAAAAGAAAAGAAAAAAGAAATGTGAAATAATATAGTTCAATCCAATATTGAACTACAAAGAAGTAAATCGACTAAATTTACACTAAGTTGTTTCCCTGCTTATCAACTTACACCTATGTAGGCTATAGTAATATTTAATTAATAATATAAAGAACACCAAAAATTAGAAGACAGAGAGGGGCCACTAGAAATCGCGGCAATTCCAAACACTCCTAATCTACACTGAGAAACCCATCTGTTCCTTTCCGCAACAACAATGGTGGTCCTTCCCAGCACTGTACATTGTTGGCACACTGACCCCCCCCCCCCCTCTAGAAAGAGGCTTCTTCATACTCATTTCTGTTGTTCCAAGAGCGTCTCGGAATAAGTGCACCGCCATGCTCACTCATACTACCACTTGGTTTGTAAAAGATAGGATTACCCCTGGCACTCCTCAAGGGGCCTGATCTGTTCCCATGGGTTACCAGTCTTGAGGATGAGAATGGTCTGTCTACTAACAGATCACAGCTGTACTCCATTGTCATGAAGGAAGAGGCAATCCCATATGTTAACCGAGGTGTCATTGCACCCGCATTCCACCAACTGCTATCAGAAGGGATTTGATCGCCATTTTTGTACTCAGAATCCGGAAGTGAAGACTCCTTTAGACTACAACCGTCGTCTTCGCCTGTGTCGTCATTGTATATGAGCTTAAGTGCCTGGACGACTTCTCCCATGAACGGTCTTTGAGTCACTTCTGGGTGAACGCACATGGAAGCAATGGCTGCCACCTTTGCCATGTCATCGAAGTCGTAGTCACTTCCAGCCAAGGAAGGGTCCACCAATTGCTTAAGACCTTCTCTTGTGGTCAGTAGAGGTCTCGCCCAAGTCACGAGATTTTCTTGCCCAGGTGGTTGGGACATATCAACCGGTTTTCTTCCCGAAAGCAGCTCTAGTAGCACAACCCCATAACTGTATACATCACTTTTGACAAGTAGATGTCCTGTCATTGCATATTCTGGAGCAACATACCTATCATCCACCATAACTCCACAAGTCAAAACATTAACTTCTGCTAGTAACTCTGGACTTGCCATCTAACAAACAATCTCAAGTAGCTGTATACACACCAACTAAACTACATAATAACTAAGTATTTCAGAGTTAGGCAAAAAAATAATACATTGAGTCATGGGCTTATCTTTTTTATTTTTCTTATCTTTCTTCTCTTTTTGCTCTGTTATCATGGATCGATTCATGTTAGCCGACCCTAAAAAATTTTGGGAATAAGGCTTGCATGTTGTTGTTGTGACTTGTGAGTCAATGGCTAAACGCAACAGCATAAGAAAATGTATTGGGAATTTGGGATAATAAATTAATCAAAACTTTTTTATTTTGCCTAAATTGCCCTCATTAAAGTTCATCATCTCATTTATTTGGAGAAAGGGTAAATTGAATAGTAAAAAGGGCGATTAAGAAGAAAATATTTAATGTGTATGACTTCATAAATGGACATATAAAATGTATGATGACAATTGGTGAACGTCGATAATACATTGAGTCATTGGCTTATCTTTTTATTTTTCTTATCTTTCTTCTCTTTTTTGCATTGTTATCATGGATCGATTCATGTTAGTCGAACCCAAAAAATTTTGGGAATAAGGCTTGGATGTTGTTTGTTGTTGTTTGTTGTTGTGAGTCAGTGGCTAAATGCAACAGCATAAGAAAATGTATTGGGAATTAGGGATAATAAATTAATCAAAACTATTTATTTTGCCTAAATTGTCCTCATTAAAATTCATCATCTCATTTATTTGGGAAAAGGGTAATTGAATAGTAAAAAGGGCAATAAAGAAGAAAATATTTAATGTGTATTACTTCATAAATGGACATATAAAAATGTATGATGACAATTGGTAAACGTAGATAGATGAAACAAGAATGGAGGGAGTAGCTGGTAGATAATTGACAATGCAAGGCATAGGAAACTTAAGATTATCGGAATGCCATTTCTCACATCCCGAAATAGATTGTGGGTTCATTCTTATTTAGAATATACATTTTTCCTTCGTCAATGATAAACAAAAAAACTAGTGCATGTTGTATGATCTTGTTTCTTGGCTTATTAGAACATATCCGCCAATTTTTTTATTAATAGAAATAACTATGATTTGAGGTACTTTTCTAGCTACGTGGCTGAAGAGGACAATTTTAGTTTTTTCATAGTTGTTTTTTTAATTTATTAATACAATGTATTTTAAATATATATTTTTTATAAACCTGTCAATAAGGCAAATTCAGCCAATATTAGACTTACTGAAAAAGCTATAAATAAATAGATAAATAAATAAATACACAAACAAAAAAATAAATAAATAAACAAAGGGAAACCCGGAAACAAGATTTTCACATTTCTGACATAACTCGTGAAACTAATATGGAGTAATTTTATTGGATATTGCCACAGCAGCACTATGGCAGACTGCAGTATATTCTTTCCATTAATTACTGCTAATACTGTGCATCAAATGTAAAAAAGAAACATACCCAAAAGTTCCCATGACTCGAGTTGATATATGTTGACTTCCTTCAGTTGCTTCCCTTGCCAACCCAAAATCTGAGACCTTGGGGGTATAATCATCTTCCAGCAAAACATTACTTGCTTTGAAGTCACGATGGATTACACGAGGGTTAGAATCTTCATGAAGATAAGCTAGTCCCCTCGCAGCACCAAGAGCGATTTTTAACCGTGCATCCCAATCTAGAGGACATGTCATCTTGTCTATACCTTAAATACCAAGTGGATTCAATCAAAATATATTATAAGAAAAACTCTGCAAAACAAACATATAATGTTCATAACAAAGAAGAGATTCTTTAACACTATGCACCCAGTTTGTAGGATGATGAAGACTTCCAGGAAAAGCCAGGCAGCAGACATTTCAAACCCCCGAGTTTCAAGATGACAAATCTAAGAAAGTGATATTGACCAAAGTAAACAAAGAACATACCGTGTAAATGAGACTCTACGCTTCCATTTGGAACAACCTCATAAACCAAACAGCGTGTCCGTCCTTCAATGCATATGCCAATTAATTTCACAAGGTTACGGTGATGTAATCTGCTAAGCATTTCAACTTCAGCAATGAATTCACGGTCTCCGTTGTGATTATCGCCCCTTGTGAGCAATTTGACAGCAATTTCTGTGTTGTCTTCCAAGACCCCATGATAAACACGTCCAAACCCTCCTTCCCCTAAAACTCGTTTCGAACTAAATTTTTCGGTGGCTTTCTCAAGCTCAGCAAGTGCAAATGTCCGCACAGAAAGAACAGATGAAGGCATTGCAGAAGCAAGGGACACTGACATTGAGCTTGCTGGGCTACTAAATATCATAGAGCCCATTCCTGTGACACATTAATAGTTGAAGGTTTGTATAAATCTCTTTTATCAATTGGGCTTAGAAGAATTGTAAAACCAGTCAAAAAGCCAGTCGTATCATGAGCTACAGACTATATCATAGTATGCACTAAACTTTCCAGGTTCATTCTACTTCCATAACCAAACGCTGACAATGTTACATAAGATGATAAGAGAGCGAAAAAGATTCGCATAAATCAGAAAATATAATGTTCAAAAAAACATGTTCAAGAATAGTCAGCAAGAGACCTGAAAAAAGGCCCATTTCATTGGAAATATGCTCCTAGTGGAGTATAAGTTGAAAATCCGGAAGCTCTTAATGCTCCAATATTGCAATCTCCATTAAACTAGATTATTAAAAATGTTGGAATACGCAAGAATGTCAAAATCATTCATTATGGAAGACTTTGATAAATATAGAGACAAAATAGCTCACTAAAAGATTTTAGATCACGTCTCTTTATCGTCGCCCTTCCTATGGGGGTGGGGGTAATAAAGTGGGAAACTAAGTGCTGTACATCCTAAATAATAGTACATTGTATGATTGAGTTGTTTTAGCTACTTCACGCAAATGATGAGAAATCTGTGGCAGAAAATGTAGGAAAGTCAAAGAAAACACATGAAACTCAAAATAAAATGCAAATAAAGAAAGGGAAGAAACGTATTTGAGCATGAAGACAAACTAGTTGAGCAAAAGAACGTCCCAGAGTAAATAAGCTCAAATTTGTCAATTTCACTTAAACTAGACAGGTACAAAAAAAAAAGTGACAAAGAAAGCGACCGGCTTGACATATCATCTTTAGTACGTTAGTACGTAGTATAAAATAGAATGATACAAAATGATACACGACTCGGTTTTTGGAGCAGAGTACAAGTGTATAACTATATGCAAATGACTTGACTTTATGCTCTGATAACCATGACATTTCAAGAAGTTTATACTGAAGCATCCATGTCAGGCGCAACGAAAGAAAAGAACAGCATCAAATAATCGCAGAACATTAAAAAGAAATGTATTACACAACAATGAAAATAATAACAGGACGAAAATGATGATGGTTATGATAATTTCATGCGTGAAAAAACTCAGACATACCGGATCTCTTGTTTAGAGAAGGAACGAAAGCTGGACCAACAGCGCTTGATGGTCTGCCTTGCCTCCTGCATTTTAGCATGATAACAATGGCTCCACAAAGAATCACTAGGAGTACCAACGCTGATGAAGCTATGAGAAATATCAGTCTGGGACTCAATTTCTGATTCGTATCCACTAAATCAGCAGTAACAGGAAACTGATGAGTGCCCGAACTTGAACTTGGACCATTAGAACTGCCAGTTGGTGGAGAAGAAGACAGCCCTGAGACTAAAATATTTAGACCTATATTCAAAATTACAAACAATAGGGAAAAACACTGTAATGAGTTCACCGTGTACCTGGATAGCTAATGGACATCACCTCATAATCACCAAATAAAGTATGGTTTAAAGTTACGTTCTTTTTCCAAAATCTTTCAGACGTGAGCTGAGCAGTGGTGTCATCAAACTTCTCCCCTAAAGGAACCAAGTTAAGATCAACCACCGTCCATTCCTGGTTTCGACTATCAGCACTTGCTCCAACAACCACCACCTGATGAGGGTCTAGGTATGTTTCTGCAGCAACCTCAAGCCCAAGTTCTCTAATAACAGGAAATACAGCATAAAGTGATACACCTAAAACGAGCTTCACTTTCATCGGAAACACGCAATCACATCTTGAAAGGAGGGGAATTGAAGCAAATGGAGGCGAACAGATCTGACCACAGGCTGCCAGTTTAAGTTTTAACATCATTCATTAATACAAGAAACAATATGACGATGACACACAAAAAGTGAGATGGACGAGACGTATTCCCCTTATATACATGTTAAATATGGCACATCTTACAGCAATAACTTTAGCATACTAATAAACTTTTTTTCAAATCTCCTTGTGAAGAAATGCATGGGTCATATGATAAGAAATGCATCATTCTTCATTTCAGTGAATGGATATCTAGATTTGACCAAATAGATTAGCATACATAGATTATGCTTTTGGTTGGAGGGACCAATTGTACAGAAATCATCACAAAATACAGAAGTTCCAAAAATCGTTAGTCACTAGGTGAGCATCATAACTGAACGCTAACAGAATGGTGGGATCATTGAAGTTTAGATAGGAAGTCAATAGCATAGGCAGTGATATTTTGATTGTTCAAACAGAGAAAAATACCCGATTCAGTAGCTGGTGAAATTGCTGGTCGGGTACTCCCTGGATGGTGATGACCGTGATGATGCTTTCGCCACTTATTGCCAACAGGACTGGGTACAGGACCTAGAGTAGTAAGCTTTGAATCAGTAAGGTGATGATCATAAGTTAGATATCCAGTACTACAATTACCTACCTGGAATCACCGGTGAAGAAGATGGTACAAGTATAGAAGGATTGATATGCTTTCTATGGGGTGCTGATAGCGGAGCAAACGATGCACTGGTCGACTCTAACCTCACTGCAAAAGATAGAAGAGCAATTACTGTCACAAATACAAGACAATACATTGTTTAAGAAAACTAAATGAGATAAATTAGGTGGATAGAAAACTGTAAAAGTGGGAAATAAAACTTTAATCAGAATATAGAAACTCCTGAGCTCACAATCTTTTGAGGAGAATATTCTGGCAAAGTGTGATTGGCTAGGGAAGAGAGGAGTAGATAAATTCGTAAAAGGACAACTCAGTCCATGTCCTAGATTAGGTAAATGAGACTCATTCAAATCTGTTGTAATTTCATAAATGCTGCTCTCTGTCCCAATTTGTTCTCCCTGTTTGATTTTAACACTATAAACTGAGGGATTGAGATTTAAATAGAAAGGAAGAATTCATATGAATTACAAACATCTTTCACTTAGAGGAAACAATTATTTTTCAGGACATGTTAAAAGGTAAGGGTGAAGAGCGTTTTGGGAAAGATAAAAAAGTGACAGAAATTAAAAATAGGGAAGGAATTTCTGGAATTGTCCTGGATTAGGCGAATGAAATGCTCATCCAAAATGTGTTGTAATTTCAAAAAATGCTACCCCTCCATCCTAGTCAGTTATTTAGGTTTGATTTTTATACTACGTTAGTCTTTAGGCAGTCAAATTGTGAGGTCGAGAATTAACAAGAACCACACAACTCACTCAAGAGGAAATGAGAAAAACATTTTGGGACACTCAAAAGAGGTAAATGTGAGGAACATCGGAACATCATGAGACAGAGGGAGTAACATTTAAGTGGAGGCGAGTACTAGGCAACTCAAATATCTTGTAGGTACGTAATTGCCTCCTTCAAAAGAAGTTTATTTATGCCGAGTATAGTCTAGGAACTGAGTCAGTCACTAACAGCAGGTCTTCAACCATAGTCTTACCATTCATGCAGACATGATCATTAATGATAGATACATTGTACAGCGTTTAGAACGAAATAAGGACAAATACTTTGAGCAACCTCAAAGGCCCAAATCAGGTATAAAAAAACAAACACAATTTCGGATGCAATGCACCGGAGTTTAATTTGTAGTACAACAAATGGGCAAATTCCAAACATTGTAAACATAAGGATAGCTATGTTGTGAGGGTGACTTGTGACACACACAAGCTTTAATATCATCGACAACAGCTTATTTTCAAATAAGCAAAGCAACAGATATTTTACAGAACTGCAATCCCATTATTTAATTCAAGCATGTTCATATCTGATGCAAGGCTGGGGTTAGAAATTACCACAAAAGGAAGGGTATAGCTTATTAAATAGGCTTCTTTACAACGCATAAAACCTTCCTCACCTAATTTTCTAGCTGGAGTCCCAGGCATACATTCTTTTTTATTTATCTTTACTAAAAAGGGAAGATTTTAAGTTCAAACTAGTAAACAGAAGTAATTCTCGCGGCTTAACTTATGCATCAGCAGGGAAATTATAAGGAGTGGAGAATTTATAGGAACTAACAGAGAAGAAAGCAACTGAAATTACCAAGACTAGTAGGAACTAGAGTGAACAGGGGAAGAAGAAAGAGAAATGCAAAAGCAGACATCTTCTATCTCAAGCACGCAACTCCAATCACCATTCCGAGAATCCGACCCGGCCCATCTAGCCCAGCACCCACTCCGGGTTATGCTACAGCCAGACGCACCGACAGAGCCCTCCATCAACTCCTCCACAAAAGCCGGAACATTGCATGTCTCTGCATCCAGTTCGAATCTCGGGCAAGAATCAGGAGAGTAGAACCCTAGCTCGAGTTCACAATGCAGCCGGACACTTCACGGATCCAGGAAATGTGGGTCGGGCGCGATCCCAGGAGTGAAGCTAGAGAGAGAAGCCAGGAGAAATTGCAGAGAGAGAGAGAGAGAGAGAGTAAGTGAGTGTGGAGAGATCGTTGACGTTGAGCTGGCGATGAGCGAAGAAGACCGAGAGAAGATTTAGCGGCAAGCGGGAGAAACACGGCGACGGAGAGAGAGTGGGATGAGGTTGGTCGCTTTAATGGCTGTATAGTGACCAGAACTATCTGCTTTCACGCGCTCACATACCCGCGTGTGCCTCACGTAGCAATAGCATTGCTGGGAACTGAGATAATGCTTTGACCGTGGGGCGTAAACCCTTTTACGGGGATGAGAAAAGAAATTTGAAAAAGGGAAAAGGAGGTGTGCTGTGTGGCCCACTTGCTTCTGTTTAAATTCTTTTCAATTTTGTTTTTTATGGGTAAGGTTGTTCGAGACGCGATACCGGATATATTCTCTCATACTTTTATCGTATTAAAATTTTCGGAATACAAAATTTATATAATGTTATCTTAGTGGGGAGATTTACCCAAATAGGAGTAATTAAAGTCTTAATTGTCAAAATAAGACCAATGTTTAAAAATTCCTCAAATAGGAGTATTTATTTGAAGTTAGACAAAAATACCCTGAACCTGGACACAACATATCGTCACATACAGACCGCCGGAACGGTCACCGCCGACCGCCGGCCGCCGCAAACCGCTGCCACATCCTCAAAACTAGCCGCCCGTGCAGATCCGGCCGCCGCCGCTGCAGATCCGGCCGCTGCTGTTGCAAATCCAGCCACCACCGCCGTAGATCTAACCAGAGTTGGCCGCCACCGGCCACCGACTGCAAATCCGCCCACAGCCCACTGCTACTGCAGTTCCAACCGCCATTGCTGATGTGGCCAATAAATTTAGTAGAATGCCAACATGACTCTAGAATGCCATATTAATGGCATTTTCAAAGAAAAATAGGAATTTTTTGAAGAGTAAAAATGCCATTTTGATGGCATTTTGAGAGAAAAATTTGGCAATTTGAACAAACAAAGAAGAAGATGGACATTGCTACTCACTCCCTTCGTTGCTTTACGACCAAACAGAAGATGAGAAGGAGGAAGGAGGGAGAAGAATGAGTTGCTTTACAGATCTGGATCAGAAATTGCTACTCACTCGCTTCGTTGCTCGCCGATGCTCTCCCCTGCTCGCCGCCGCCACTCTCCGCCGTCGCTCGCCGCGCCTGAAGACTTCGTTGTTGAAGGTTTCCAATCGGAGAAGATGAGAGTAGAAGAAAACTCACCATCTGGCAACCTGAAATATGGAACAGATTGGAGAAGAATAGCTGGTGTGGAGGAGAATTTAAGATTTGGAGAAGAAAACTTAATCTGCCAGGCATGAATAAAATTGGAATGAAAACCAGCTGGTGCGTGGAGAAGGGAAATGTCTGGGCGAAGGAGAATAATGCACGTAGGAGTGTAGGAGGGGTAAATTTGGAATAATTGTCCTATTTAGGGAATAAAATTTATCTACTCCTATTTGAGAATTTGAACCCTAGTTTAGTCCTACGGAAGGCAATAACTCTATCTTAGTGAAATTTTGGTATACCGTATTTCAGTATATCAAAGTTTTGATTCGATAACGATATGATATTGATAAATTACCATTAATGTCTCTCAATATAATAAATTATCAAAGATTAACGAAATATACAAAATCGGTAATACTAGCAACATATTTAATTCATTATTAAATGTTACAAAATACTAATAATAATTTATTGATGTCATATTCAATACGGAGTATTGAACAATCATTATTATTAGTATATTTAAGCAATTCAACATGTCATATATTAAAAATAACAAATTCCCCTAAAAACTTAAACAGTATAGATATAATTAAATAAATAGTGATCTCTAACAAAAAAACATCCAAAAAACATGTATATAAAACTAGTTTTTGTAATGCGCTATGCGCGAATGGGATTATGCCCAATGTACTTTATACAAAACAAATACTCCCTCCGTCCCGTTGGAATGTTCCCGTTTTGACCTACACACATATTAAGGAAAGAGAAAGCTCCCCAAATAGGACTAAAACAGTTTGAAAATTCCAAAATAGGACTGACATGTTTTTTATTCCCAAAATAGGAGTAATTAATGCCAAGTTTGGAAATTACTGCCATGTTTGAAGTCTGGTACTGCCAAAACATGACAGTAATTAGTCCTATTTTAGGAATAAAAACATGTCAGACCTATTTTGAAATTTCCAAACTTTTTTAGAACTATTTCGGATAATATCCCTTAAGGAAATAAACTTACGAGGGGATAAATTTTACTGTTTTGACACTGTTTTGGACACTGTTTGGCACTGTTTGGCACTGTTTTGCACTGTTTGACACTGTTTTGATGTAGGATAAGTTTCCATTTAGAAAAATGGGAACTTCTTTTTGGGACATCCAAAAAAGGAAAGCGGGAACATTCCAACGGGACGGAGGGAGTATATAGTTGTACTCCCTCAGTCCCTCCGTCCTTCTAACTTTGTCCCGTTTTACCTTTTCCGTCCATCTCATTAAGTTTGTCTCATACTATATTTGGTAATATTTGAGTGGTTAAAATTCATTCTTATTTTATTCACACTTTATTAATTCAATATCAACCACACAATTCCACTTTTTCTTAAAAATCACATCACACCCCTTTGTTCCAAACTTAGGGGAACGGATGTAGTGTTTTTTTTAACTCGTATAGTATATGCAAATGAAAGAAAATATATAGGGAGAGAGTTTAAGAAATATTCAAGTTGTTTAAGTATGAACTTAGGACCATAGTTTGTTCTACGTTGGAACTCACAACTTCGATAATGTACTATTTTAGTTTAAACAAAGTGTCACATAGAATCACTTGTCTGAGTAAGCAAATCTCTCAAGTCCCATATGAAGAAAACACTAATTTTTGAAATTAATGAATTTAACTTCAACTGGATACAAAATTTAGTGGAATCTATTCGAGCCTAAGATTTTTTTTTAATGTAGCACAAATTAAATAAGTGGATATTAATAGTTTCTACTTTTCATGCTGCTGGATATTAATAGTTTGTTTATTTCTAAAAAATATTATAATTTGTAATTTTGAAACATAAAGTTTAGTGGGTGTCTTACCAAGCTTAGAAAATGTTTATTAGTATGTCGTCTTAGCATGGTGTTATATTCTTTTAATGGCAAGCTTTCAGGTACAGATATATATATTAAGAAATATCTTTTTCCTTTAAAAACTAACAACATGCTAAGACTTAGAGCTTGTTTGGTGACCATATTTTTCGGCTTATCAGGCTTATTAGCCAACTTTATCATCAAACACGTAACTTTTGATTTCACGCGCTTAATTGTGTAATAATAACAAAAAGTAAGGTTGAAGTTACTTTTCTGACTATATTGGCTGAAGTAAATGTAGAGAATCATTTTAGATGTTTTTCATGTATTTGTTCTTTATTTCATTAATAAAAATATATTTTAAATTTTTTTTTCTTAAATCAGCAAAATCAGTCAATACATTAACTTCAACTAGAACTCCATAGAATTCAGCAGAATCAGCCAATACATCCGGTTTGGGTATTACCAAACGGACTCTTATTAGTGATAAATAAAGGTATTTTAGGTATGTTCTCATATGTAGAACAATACGTACTTCGTTGAGTGGTGTTTGTAAGCAATACGTACTGCCTGAGGATTTAGAGAATTGTGTCCTAATTAATCCCTTGGGCTATTTTTATTGAAATATTTAAAAAGATTGGATTCACAATCACACTAAAGAACTACTCCGTAAAATATTATTTAAATCAAAGTAAATGATTGGAGTACAAACTAAAGGACAAAAAGGTAGACAAAAACGATTGGGATTCATGTTAATTAAACTTAACGGAAAGCAACAGTATAACACCATGCAAACGATATATGAGGGCTGAAAAGGTCAAGTGAGTTAAAACGTACAAGTAATTATGCATAATGAACAACACCTTATTGCTTCTTAATTACACCAACATTTTTCTCATGTCTCTTACACCCTTACTCTCATTGGTGTTTATAATTTTTTAAGATTATTTATCCCTGATATAATGTTGTGTATTTAGTCATTTTTATAATTTAAAAAATATTTAAATAGGACTTTCGATATAATGATATACTGGTATACCTTTTATATTCAAAATATATACCGACACCATACGGAAGTAATTCGGTACGACACCATACCATATCGAAAATGTCTGTATACCTAAATCTTCGGTAATTAAATCCGGTATTTTTCGATATGGTAAATCCGATATACTGAAATTTCGATATTTTTCCCCCGCGCGACTCCTTCTAGCACATTTTTACTACTTCTCAAATTAATTTTGTACTCCTTTCGCTACGTGTTATCAGTTTTTTTTTTTGCATTGTCTCAAAATAAGTATTACTCCTGTATTTTAAAGTTTGCTACATTTTCATTTTTTGATGTATTTAAAAGTTTGCTATACTTTCCCTTTTTGATAAGTTTTTCCATTAAAAATACTTAATTACCTTTATTTTTTCTACTGTTTATCTTCTCTTTCATATGTTTTCACTCCTCTCTTACTTTTTCTACATTATTTATTACCCCTACTATTTCTCCCTTAAATGATGTGTCCAAACCTATTGTAAAGAACTTTTAAATGTAGATGAAGTACTTTGTACCTTTCTTTGCTATGAACCTAATATGTGCTCCACATCATTTCCTTTTGTTATACACAATCTCAGTCTTATTTTTACTTCATTTTTCATTTTCCCTTTTAAGAACTCAAATATCACTTTATTTGAATAATTGAGTATCTTGCTTTTTATAAAATTTGTGGCTAATTGTTTGTTCCGAGCAAGTTAAGAAATGTTGTCAATCAAATTTTTTTAGCAAGTCGACAAATACAGTCAATTTATAATTTTTAGGGTTTTTTGCCCTTTTATTTTAATAAGATGTTGAGATATTTAATTTAACTAGATGAAGTACCCGTGCAATGCACGGGGTACATAATGTGCAATTTCGCAAAATAATAATAAAATGATAGGATTTATATGCTTTAACTTTTAATAAAAAAAAAAGAACGATAGGATTAAAGTACGTTGTAGTAGCGGCAGAAAATAAAATTTGGGATCATATTGAAAAGTAAAATAGAAATAAATGATAATAT